CAGCTGACAAGGCTACCCGTAGCTAAGCTTCGGAGATTCCTGCGGATTAGTATGAGAGGGTGATATAGCTCGTAATCGCATTTGCTATCATGCCGCTGATCTTTCCGCAAGAAGATGAAGGCACTGAGGGTCTGGTGAGGTGACGTGCACGGGGCATGCCGCGAGCCAGAGCTCGACCACTCAGGTTTGTCAGCACTGCAGGGACGGACCCAAGCACAAGCGTCGTGCCAGCATGTGTAGTCCCTGTTGCGGGGTGAGCAGGAGGCCGGTGAGCAACGCAGGTGGCCGCGAAGGGCAACAGGCAAGCATGTGGTGATCATAAGGTAACTCATGCAAGGAGGCAAGCTAGTTCGAATAGATGCAAGAAAGATACATGCCACAGGGACGGACCCATGCGGCCTAGGGATGATGCATCTCGAGGGGTGCCCCCAATAGAGTAAGCTAAAGATGCAAAAGGATGCATGTCACAGGGACATGCCCATGCTACCCGGGGATGATGCAGCCCGAGGAGCGCCCCCGGCTGAATAAACTAGAAAATGTCACCTGTCACCGTCGTTGAAGAGGCGTTGGAGCAGCTGAAGATGCATGCTGAAGAAGTCGCTCCTCACGAGTCGTCTGGCGGCTGGTTCCCAGGGGACACTGGAGGTTCCGGCTCTTGCTCCCCCCAGGATGGCCTGGCGCCTGGCCTCGCAAGCCGCCAGGGCGCACTGCGTGAGCCAGTTGAAGGCGACAGCTGCGTTCGGCAGGCCGAAGGGCATGCGAACGTAGCTGTGTGGGGAACCTCTACACTGACCAACGCTCAATGGCCAGAAGCACCCCTGAGATGCGGCCCTGTTGAGCTCAGGAACATCGATGCAGATGCATAGCTCGTCATCCGCGCCAGGACAAGGAGCTGTGCCAGGTGGTGGGCGGCGGTCGCTGCGCATGGCTCTTGCCTCTTGAAGCTCCTTGGTGGTCTTGGTGATGAACTCCTAAGCACCGGGCACTTCGTGCCTTATGCCTTGATGAGGGAAGCGTGCGGTGAAGCATGCCCCCATGTGGTGCCCGAGCGCCTCCCTTGTGACATTGGCTAAGTCTGAGGTCCTCCAGAAGAGAGCCCCCGAGTCCAGCCCGAGGAGGGCGTCGGGAGCGCCTTCCTATGCAAGGGAGGGAGGCGCCCATCTACAGGCATAGGTCCTGAGGTGGTGCTGTTGGAGACGCCGCTCTTCTGAAGCCCTCGATGGAGTAGCTGCTTCTTCTTCTTGGGGATGGCCTCAGGAGGGTAGACGGCGCCTTCGTTATCTGGGTCTTCGGCCGCTGCAGCTTGGTAAGCACGCTCGAGGGAGCACACCGCATCCGTCTCCTCGCAGGCGACCTTGATGATGCCGCAACTCCCGGGCATCTTGAGGACATTGTAGCCGTGATGGGTCATTGCCATAAACTTGGCCAGGGTTGGGTACCCAAGGATGGCATTGTACGGCAGGCGGATGCGGGCGACGTCGGAGTCGATGAGCTCAGTGCGGTAGTTGTCGCGCCTGCCAAAGGTGACAGGAAGGCGGACCTGCCCGATCGGGGTGGTGAAGCCATTGGTCACTCCTAAGAAGGGCTTGGTAGGCTGTAGCTGATCATATTGCACTTGGAGGCGGTTGAACGTCTCGACGGACAGGACATTGAGCCTCGCGCCGCAGTCGATGAGGGTCTTGGTGACTTGGACATTGCTGATGATGGGTGAGTAGAGCATCGGGAGGGCGCCAACAGTTGCCGCGCACTTGAGTTGGTAGATGGAGCTGAAGGTAATGGTGCACTTGGACCACCTCAGCGGGTGCGCAACCTTGAGCCTGGCGAGGGCCGCGTTCACCCTCGCGAGCAAACTGCTTGAAAATATGCTGAGAGGCTGGGGTCTGAGCGCCACCCAAGATGCAAGCGATGGTGCGAGGCTCCTGGAAGCCCCCAGCCCCCTCTTCCTGATGATGGTCGTCGTTCCTTCTTGGTGGTGGCGGAAGTGGAGGGAGGCCAGTGTTGCCCTAAGGGCGGTCCTCACGAGGGTAGTCTCTCCAGGCGTCCTCGCGAGGCTGGTCCTGCCAGCGGTCCTCACGAGGCCGGTCGCGCCACCCTTGATGGGGGCCGCGGTCTTCCCAGCGTCCTCCACTTCGTCCTCCTCCTCGGCCGTAGCCTCGGTCATTGTGCTTGAGGCGTCGGCCAAAGCGCCCATCGCAGATGGCCCTGAGCTCTTGACAGTCGTTGGTGTTGTGGCTGTGCACGTTGTGGAAGGCGCAGAACGGGCGGTTGGCCTTGGATGACTCAGGATGGTCACGGTCGCGCTTCATCTCCGGCTCCGTTGCGAGCATAACAGCCCCCTTGCGCTTCACATCCTTGGCCTTGGCCTTCTTGTCTTCTGGGTCGGCTGCTGGAAGCTTTAGGAGGAAGAGGCATCCCTCCTCAGCCCTTCCGCACTTGGTCGCCATGTTGAACATCTCCAGAGCTGTGCACAGGTCTTCATGTATGGCGAGCTCCTCTTTCATCTTGACATCGCGGACGCCATCGGAGAATGCTAAGATGATGGCCTCATCCGTCACCTTGGGAATCTTGAGACGAACACTGTTGAAATGATGGATGTACTTCTGCAGGGTCTCCCCTGGCTGCTTCTTGATGCAATGCAGGTCACCAGCGGCAGGCGGGCAATCGCGGGTGCCTTGGAAGTTGGTGACGAAGCGCTCGTGCATCTCGCTCCAGGAGGAGATCGATCTCGCGGGAAGGTTCAGGAGCCACGAGCGTGCGCCATCCTTGAGAGCCATGGGAAACCAGTTCGCCATGACCTTCTCGTCGCCGTTGTCCGCCTTGATGCTCAACTCGTAGAGCTGAGAACTCAGCAGGGTCGGGGGTGCCGTCCTAGCGCAGAGGCAAGTCGGGCTTGAACTTGCTGGGCCAAACGACATTGCGCAGCTCGGGGGTGAAGGCGTGGCAACCCGCCGTGGTCACTGGAGCCCGCCGTGGAGGCGGAGCCCGGTCTTGGTATCCATGCGCCGCCGCCACAGGTGGCCCGTGATAACCCACAAGTATAGGGGATCAATTGTAGCCTCTTTCAATAAGTAAGAGTGTCGAACCCAACGGGGAGCTAAAGGTAGAACAAATATCCCCTCAAGTTTTATCGACTACCGATACAACTCTACGCATGCTTGACGTTCGCTTTACCTAGAACAAGTATAAAACTAGAAGTACTTTGTAGGTGTAACGGGATAGGTTTGCAAGAATATAAAGAGCACGTGATTAAAAACTAGGGGCTGTTTTAGGTAAATCAGCAATAAAGTTAGTATAGCGAGTGTGGAAAACTGGTGGTAGGAGTTGCGAAATTGTCCCTAAGTAATTGCCTACTTTACTAGACCGATAGCAAGTTTTATGTGGGAGAGGCCACTGCTAGCATGTCATCCCTGACTTGGAATTCTATGCACTTATGATTGGAACTATTAGCAAGCATCCGCAACTACTAACGTTCATTAAGGTAAAATCCAACCATAGCATTAAGATATATTGGTCCCCGTTCAATCCCGTATGCATCAATTTCTATGCTAGGTTGAAGCTTCTGTCACTCTTGCCCTCCAATACATAGTCCTATCAACATACAACTAACCCTATGGTGTGATCCACGTGCACGCTCATATGATGGGCACCAAAGGACAGCAACATAATGTGACGCCCGAGACCGATGCTCGAGAAGACTTCCATATGGTCCGGGTTTCACCATGTGTTTCATTTGTGCCGCCCTTTTATTTTTGTGTTGCATCATGTCATCATGCCATCATCTCATAAATCTTTTGCAACTCAACTAAATAAATTGCATGTATCCTCGGTCTATTTACATCGAGGGATATTCACTATGGTGATTACTCTTTAAAACATATTCTCCCAATATTTTAGGGAGATATATAAATTATATTCCAATAATTTGGAATCACCCATAACACACGTGCAGATAATCCCATGCCTTTCTGCTTCGAGTTGATCTCCAAACCTTGCCGAAAATTCTTTCTTCTTTTTTTGGGGCTCCTCCAAAAGTCTCAACATTTTTGGACCTTCCCAAACCTCACTTCCTATTCAAGTCATTTGGAATCAATTTCAAATGAGTTTGAATTCAACTTCAACCGCGTGCCCACTTCTATTTTGCGGGATCAAGCTCATTTTTGCAAGTCCGGGGATAATCTATGCGTAAAATCCTTTCCTAACCCTCTCCTTCTTTTCCCTCTTTCAATTTCCTTTTTTGCTAAAGGATATAAGAGAGAGAGAGAGAAGCCTAGCCTAGGCCGGCCCATAGGCCCAGCCGACCCCCACCAGTTCTAACCCTAGCCTCGACCCACATCTCCCTCGAACCCCTCCTCCTTTGTCGTTCCTCCCAACGCCGCCAGGAGAGCACCATGCTCGATCCCATCTCCTCTCGATCTCTCCCTCTCGCTCCCCAAACCATCCCCACGCGTGCAGGCACCTAAGGCCCGCCACCGTCTCGACCTCGCCAAGGCCACCGCAAGCCGTCCTCGGAAGAGCCTCGACACGCCCCTCTTCTTCCCTCCTATTTCTTCTCCATGGCGCCGCCGTCGTCCGGCGCTCCTCCCTTCACCACCGCACCGTTCGTCCCCTTCGTTCAGGTCGGAGCTCGCCGGAGCCCCAGCACCGGTCGCCTCGTCTCCTCGAGCATCTGAGCCGCCGCGCGCAAGGCCACCGGACCAGCTCATCTAAGCTCTCGACGCCGGTGACCTCCAGTGCCTCCATCATCGCTGCCCCGCGCCTCAAGCCCCGAGCGCCGCCATCCACACCTCATCGCTGCTGCGATCTGCTCCGCCCTGAGCGCCTCCTCTACCTCGACGGCCGAAGCCCGACCGTTATCAGCCCCTATTTTCTGACGAGGCCCGCTGCTCCGCCCCGCGGCCATGGCCTCCGACCGCGACAACCCCGGCGCCCCTGCTGCCTCCTCCTCCAGCCACGCCTCTGCTATGTGCGAGCAGAGGACGAGGTGCTCGTTCGCCCCCGCCATGGTTGCTCGCCTCTGGAACCACCTCCTCGACATCTCCTCTGCGCCCATGAGCCTCGATGCCCTTGTTGTTGTTGCTTCTAGACCACCACGGCGCCATCTTGGAGACCATGGCCACGACCAAGACCTCCCGGATCCGTCAAGACGTGCACACGGAGACCCTGGATTCGACAAGTCCCTCACGGTGACCCTGAACAGCTATGATACATGCACGACTTCGAACCGTGTACCACGTCGAACATTTACGGCTACACAACGAACCGCCAAGACCCTGAATGACTACCGCCGCCGAAGTCCGCGAGTACCACTACGTTTGCCATGTACATCTACACCAAGACCAGACCGACAAGTACCGCGAGAACGTTTGTACCTCTACCATCGCCATGGATCCGACAAGTACCCCTACAACAAGTGTACCTCTACCGTCGTCTTGGGAATCGCTAAGAACGTCAAGTACCCCTTCGAGATGATGAGACCGACAAGTTCGAATGACCCCAAGTACCTCTTCAAAATGACCGAGTACCATTACTGTCGGACGCTTGAACGACTACAGGCCGAAACATCAAGTTCCTCGATGAACCATGTACGTCTATCGTTTCTCGTGGATTCACCTAAGTACCACGAGATGGATGACCCTACAAGTTCAACTACAGTTGCCGTGTATGACTGTCGTCGCCACGAGAACGACTACTTCCCACAACGAACCATGAACAACTACTTCCTCTACCATCGCCGAGTACCACTACTTCCCACGATGATCGTGAACGACTACACTGCTTGACCCGAACCGCTTCGATAATGCAAGCTTTGAAGGTATAACCCCGAGACAACCGTCCGTGAACGAATGCATGTGTGATGTATGAGATGCTTGTGTTTGCACTATGTCCTAATTGTCACTCGTTTCCTTGTCGCCAACTCGTGGGACAACCGGAATCTGGGAGCGCCCCACCATCTTTTGGACGCATCCGCACACTTCTCTTTTGCTTCGGTATCTCAATCGAGTTACCGGAACCGGAACGCTGCCGTGGCACCGTTTTCATTATCATTGCCATGGCACCCCTTTCCTTTCCACCACGGTGACAAATGCCCCATATCTTATAACATGCCAACATTTTCACAAATTTTGCATAAAACTTGTTCATGTCATCCGCATGATGATAACAACAATTAAAATGTTTAGATTGTTGTTGCAATAAATTACTAAGGCATATGGGGATTTACCGGATTCGTTGTTTCTTATATCCGGCCCCATTTAAATTGCTTAGATTGTGTAGTTTACTCATGTTTCACCTCTTTCCATGTTAACCAACCTTTAATATTGTTGAGTACATAACCGGGAGAGAACTAAATAAGTCATATGGTGTTTTCTTCAATATGCAACTCCGTTGCATATTGAGCTCCACTTAATTTGTAGGATTGCTTGTGCACTTTGCCATGCCATGCATATTAAACCAGACATGCATCATACTTGGTTGTGCATCGTGCCATGCTTATGTGGTGGTTGTTTACTATGTTGTTTGCTTCTTTCCGGTGTTTCTTCTTCGGGTTAGTTCCGATAACGTCGCGTTTGTGAGGATCCATTCGACTACGTCCATTTGCCTTCTTCATGGACTCGTTCTTCTTCCTTGCGGGATTTCAGGCAAGATGACCATACCCTCGAAATCACTTCTATCTTTGCTTGCTAGTTGCTCGCTCTTTTGTTATGCCTATGCTGCGATACCTACCACTTGCTTATCATGCCTCCCATATTGTTAAGCCAAGCCTCTAACCCACCTTGTCCTAGCAAACCGTTGTTTGGCTATGTTACCGCTTTGCTCAGCCCCTCTTATAGTGTTGCTAGTTACAGGTGAAGTTTGGAGATCGTTCCTTGTTGGAACATGTTTATTGTTGGGATATCACAATATTATCTTGTTTATCTTAATGCACCTATATACTTGGTAAAGGGTGGAAGGCTCGGACTTATGCCTGGTGTTTTGTTCCACTCTTGCCGCCCTAGTTTCTGTCATATCGGTGTTATGTTCCCGGATTTTGTGTTCCTTACACGTTTGGGTTATAATGGGAACCCCTTGATAGTTTGCCTTGAATAAAACTCCTCCAGCAATGCCCAACATTGGTTTTACCATCCGCCACCTAGCCTCTTTTTCCCTTGGGTTCCGTGGACTCAAGGGTCATCTTTATTTAAACCCCCCCGGGCCAGTGCTCCTGTGAGTGTTGGTCCAAACTAGAGCCCTTTGCAGCGCCCCCTCGGGGAAACTCGAGGATTGTTTTTAGTTGTACGGAGCGCTCATCTGAGTGTGCCCTGAGAACGAGATATGTGCAGCTCCTATCGGGATTTGTCGGCACATTCGGGCGGTGTTGCTGGACTTGTTTTACCATTGTCAAGGATGTCTTGTAATTGAGATGCCGAGTCTGATCGGATTGTCTTGGGAGAAGGAATATCCTTCGTTGACCATGATAGCTTGTGATGGGCTAAGTTGGGATACCCCTGCAGGGTTTTGAACTTTCGAAAGCCGTGCCCGCGGTTATGGGCAGATGGGAATTTGTTAATGTCCGGTTGTAGAAAACCTGAAGTTGATCTTAATTAAAATACATCAACCGCGTGTGTAACCGTGATGGTCTCTTCTCGGCGGAGTCCGGGAAGTGAACACGGTGTTGGAGTAATGCTTGACGTAGGTTGTTCTAGGATCACTTCTTGATCATAGTTGTTCGACCGTGCCTTTGCTCTCTCTTCTCGCTCCCATTTGCGTATGTTAGCCACCAAATATGCTAGTCGCTTGCTGCAGTTCCACCTCATACCTTGTACCTACCCATAAGCTTAAATAGGCTTGATCGCGAGGGTGTGAGATTGCTGAGTCCCCGTGACTCACAGGTACTTCCAAAACCAACTTGTAGGTGACGCAACCGAACTCAAGGAGGAGCTCGATGAAGATCGTGTTCGTTATGTTGTTTCATTTCCAGTTGATCAGTAGTGGAGCCCAGTTGGGACGATCGGGGATCTGTGTAGACTTTGGGGTAGTCTTCTTTATTTTGGTTCTGTAGTCGGACCTTGTGTGTATCTGGATGATGAAATGCTTTATTCATGTATTTGTGTGACGTGGCGAGTGTAATCCAACTATGTATCTCTTTCCCTTTATGTATTACATGGGTTGTTTTGAAGATTACCTCACTTGCGACATTGCTTTCAATGCGGTTATGCCTCTAAGTCGTGCTTCAACACGTGGGAGATATAGCCGCATCGAGGGCGTTACAAGTTGGTATCAAAGCCTTCCCCGACCTTAGGAGCCCCCCTGCTTGATCGAATCGCTGGCGTTGTTGAGTCTAGAAATTTTTTTTGAGTCATTTAGGATTAAATATATCGGAGAGTCAGGAATTCTTTTTACTCCTCAGTCCCTTCGTCGCTCTGGTGAGGCATCCTGACGTAGAGTTTTGACTCTTCTCTTCTCAAATTTTCACTAAATTATTTTTAGGATCACGCGGGTATCTTGGAATCGTTCCGATGGTTTTGTGACGAGAACATTGTTCTTGGTGCCTCCTGACATTTAGGGGTTGTGGCAGTGTCCCGGGGAGTTGAGCTCCGAGGTGTTGTCATCACAATTTTATCGTTGCAGTTCTGGAATACCTGAGTTCGCCGACATTGAAAATCTCTTTTATGCAGTTGTTGGTGAGATAACCTCGACGCCACCCAGTACTGGGGCGGGATTCGGGAGTATTGCCATAACTCATATAACATATGCTTTTCGAAGGTTGAGGTAAATGATTTCCGATGGTTTCTTGGTTATGTGTTGAAGGATGGATATAGCTGGATGTAGGATTTGCTAGTTTTGGGTGAGATATTATGCTTCCCCTGTATCCCCAACACCTTATTGCATAACCGGAAAGTTTCGGGAGTTTATAAGTGGGAATTCAAGTAGCTCTTAGGATATCTTTCCGACAGACGTATGATATGAAATTGGGGTTCAACGTCTAGTGGTCCGCCTATCCACGGTTGGTTTTACAATGGTCTCGTTGTGTCTTAAAGAGTCCTTGGCTATACTGACTCGGGGACGCTTCGTATGCCTTGTACATGATGGTGCTGTACGATCGAGCCCGTGTAGGCCCCACCACGAAAACTTTGGATGAAATCTCTATCATATGTTTGTTCCGGCTTATTCTGCAAGCCAATCCTTTGTTTTTGTTTTGAGTTGTGGTATTCGAGTTGCTTCAAAGTCAAATGTTGATTCCATACCTTTCCTAAGTGGTGTTCTCATATTTCTATGTGGATACTAATCCTTCTTGATCATTGAGATTGTCATGTCAATCCTTTTCAACCGACGTTTTTCTCTTCAAGTGGATCCGATCATTCCAACTTTCGCGAGATCAACTAAAGTCTTCTCAATGTTGTTTGTTTCTTCCACCTCCAAGTTTCCTTTGTTTTTCCCACCCTCCCACACTTTTTCTTCAAGGACTCGGATTTCTTAGTAAAGTATCCTTTTTTTGATGGGAAGCCTCTCCATTCCTTTTCCGTCAATGTTCTTATATGGTGATTCTCATGAAGATGCTCTTCAAGTTTGTCATTCTTCATTCTTTTCTTCTCCGGTGGACTTAATTCAAGCTTTGTTCATCATATCTTTTTCCTCGTTTCAAATACCTTCTCATGCCGGTGCACCTCATATTCATTCATTTCTCGCTATTCAATTGTTCCGGAGTGCTCAAGATATCTCGAAGATTCATGTTTCTACTCTGTTTTCTTTCAAGCTCTTTTGAGGATGTTATCTCATTCAAGCCATTTAATTCAACCAACACAATATCTCTTTTAAATCTTTTTAACGGTGTTTTTCTTTTGAGTGGGCCCTAACCCACAGGTCTTTTTCCAGGATCTTACCCGACTCTTCTAATTTTACCGGAGCTATTTTCAAATTCATCTCAAAGTTCGACGTAAGAATGATTCATCGTCGTCATATGTATTTCTCGAAGATCTTTCAATTTCTTTTCATCGTTGGCTCAACCTCTTCGCTTTTGATTCTTCCGGAGTGTCTAAACAATTCATGGTGGTATTTCTCATCGTAATTCAAAAATTTGAAGACCGAATAAGATTTTCTCTCAATCCTGCTCCATTCTCTTCAAGGTTCGTGATTCTAGCTTGTTGCCATCCCCTCATAATTGTTTTGATTATGAGAATTCTTTTCACCCATCCGGAGTAATTCAGGAGTCTTTTCAGTTTGTTTATCTGAAGGCTATCAATTCAGGATTATTCATTCCAGCTTTCAGCTCTCATTCTCCAAATCTAACCGGTGCATCATTCAAGTATATTCTCTAATCAGTTCATGATCTCTTCGTTCTCTTGTATCTAAACTCTCTCATGTATTTTCGTTCATTCTCAATTCTTACGGTGGTTCTTCCAAGATTTTGTCTTCCTTCGTTCATCATATCAATTTATTCGTTGTTTCAACCCGATCGGTGGTTCGTTGAAGACCTTTCTCAAGTTGACGCTATATCTATCTTAATCCTTTTCAAAGAGAATAAGTAGTATGCCAAATCCGTTTGCTCGTCATCAATTAAATTGGTGAAGGATACACATAACGTAATTCTTATTCGTGTTTCATCCAAGTGATCAATTCTTTATTCCGGAGGTTCATCGAAAACTTTTGCTCATCTTTCTTTTCCAGAGTTCCAAGCTCTCTTAATTATATCGTCGTGAAGATCCATATAATCATCGCAAGGCTTCGCCTTGTGTTTTCAACTCCTCTTTCCTTTCATCTGATCATTCTTTTATTACCGGAGTTCTTCATGGAGGCTCTACAT